AACGCGACATATACGCGACCCTCACGTCGCGGGAGAAGGACCGGCATAACTGCCCTATCTCGCACCTACAGTTTCAGCTGCCGCACCGCTTTGTCCTCACGGGATACGCATTCACGATTCTCAGTCGACATGAGGACGAGGACAGCGATAGCGACGAACACGTGGGATCAACAATCACTTGGGACGTGCTGACGTCAAAGGACGGCAACTGCTGGAAGAAGCTTGTGCGCAAGCAGGAGGCCACTCAAAGCACGGACCCCTTTGACGAGGTTCTATCGCGCTGCGTGACCGGAGCGGAGGCCCCGACCTTCTTTCCGATCCCCGTCGACAAGGTCGACACATCTGGCAGCCGCTTCTTCCGCTTCCAGGCTCGACATCCAAACTGGGGGGTTTTTGCTAAGGTGTAGATCAGGTTCCACACCATCGTCCCACACGTAGCTCAGCGGTCAGGTGAAAAGGGGTTTTTGCTAAGGGCCTCCCACACACGCCACCCACAGGATATGTCTTGGGCAAGTTTTGCACTTTTCTTTCGTTTACAAGCCTCGTGCATACAATTAACACATGTATTCCTAAAAAACTCTCTCTCTACAATTATTATTATTATTCGAAGTATTATTAGAACTATTATTATTATTGGCACCGCTGAGCTCGCCGGCCTTGTCCTTGCCCGCCTTGTTCTCGGCGGTGATGCGGTCGGCCTCCTTCTTGTGCTCGTTGATCTCCAGAAGCAGCTGCGTGCAGGCAGCGGTCAGGCGACGGGTCGGGCGGCGGTTAAGGGTGATCAGGGGGTGACCAGGGGGGGAGGGCGAGGGCGCTTGCGGGTGTGGGCTGGAGAGGAAGAGCGAGGGAGCTGCGCCGCCCACCTGCTGGAACTCAGTGAGCGCCACCTCGGACTTGGTGCCCTCAGTGCCGGCCTCGGCCGGCTCGTTGTGCTCCATCCTCGGCGTCCAGAGGTGCTTGTTGGCGGCGAGCTGGCGCTCGATCCAATGGCTGATGGCCTGCTCGTCCTTCGGCCAGGCAAAGGTCTTGAACGCCGGTGACTTCTTGACCAGCGTGACGATGGACTCCCACTCCTCCTTGCGGTTGTACTGACGCTCCTTGCCCCCCTTGACGTTCGCGTGGTGGGTCATCCAGGCCTTGACGCCCGAGAAGCTGACCTGCTGAAGCATGATCTCGGCGCGGAAGTCGACGTTCCACTTCATCTGCTTCTCCGTGGTCGCGGCCGGCAGCACCTCCGTAGGCTCGACGTCGATGGGATCCTGTCGGCAGCGGGGCGGCGGGCGGGCGGTTCGGTGAGATGAGAGGCGCTGCCGAGCGCGGAGTGGGCGTGGGGGGTCCATCGGGGATGGCTGGCGGCCGGGGGAGCGAAGCTACACCGTCATGCTCGGTGTCGGTGGGTCCCACGGATTAGGCGTGTAGGTGTGTGGTCGTGAGGCTCCCACGCCACGAGTCCCAGATCCCACACGTGGGAGCCCGCCGTGGGACGTTTGTGGGACCTTAGCAAAAACCCTCTACTATTTAGACATTTGGCGGGTCGAGCTGTACGGCTCAGTGCAGTCGTCTGAGATTGCGACGCCCGCCGGCGAGCGCGGGCCCTCGTCTGGCGGTAGTGGATGCAACAGCGGTGATGACGGCAGCGGCAGCAGCAGCGATGACAGCAGCGACGAGGGCAGCGACGACGGTAGCGGCGTGAGCGATGGCAACGAGGGCAGCTACGAGGACGGCAGCGAGGACGGCAGCGAGGGGGGCAGCGAGGGGGGCAGCGAGGGAGGCAGCGAGGGCAGTGGCGAGGACGGTGGGGACAGCGACGGCTACTTCTGAGCCCCAGTTCCTGAGCTCCGACCAGTAACTGTACAACGCTGAGAGTGACTTCTCAGTAACTGAGTAGCGGTGAACATAGCTCTCGGCACACCGCCAACGCGAGACCTTCTTTTCTTTTTTACCAAAGGAACGCGCCAAAAACAGCTAACATGCGCCCGCCCATGCACAACCCGCGGCGTCAGCCCTGCTCGCTGGCGAGCTCCGGCAGCACCAGCGCCAGCCGGGCATACTCCCGCTCAAAGTAGTCCGCTTCGTCGCCGCGCTGCCCCTCGTCGCGCGCGCGGCAGAGTGCCTCGGCGAGCAGCGAGCGGCGGCGGCCCTCGGCCGAGGCGGAGCGGTCGAGCGACGCGAGGACCGATGTCGGCTGCGCGTACCGGAAATGCTGCGCGCACTTTTCGAGCAGGACCAGCAGCCGGGAGTGCACCGCGTGGGAGCGCGTCGCGGCGGGCAGCAGGAAGCCGAGCAGCAGGGCCCCGGAGAGCGCCGGCGTGAGCAGTGCCGGCCGGCCGACCACGAGCGAGACGAGCGAGCGAATCGAGTCGATCTGGCTGTCGAGCGGCACCGCCGCCTCCCCGAGCATATGCAGCCATTCTGCGCGGAGGCGCTCCTTCCTGACGCGGTCCGTGTTGCGACCCCGCTGTAAACTTTGTATAGTAGCCCCGAGGCGCATCTTCCTCCTGGGTCCTTTCCTCAAAAACCTTTCCCAAGCCATCTGCCTCTGCCGTAAATTAATTATCTGTTTTTGCCCCCCGAACCCCTCTTTTTTGTGGTTTTTTAAATTCCCA